TCAACCAGAATACAGCGTTGATTGAGAAACTCAGACCGTTCTGCGAACACCATCCTAGCGTAGACCTGCAGACAGCGTTCAACTTGGTATGGGCTACAGTCCCAACAAATCCTCCTGTCCAGATGTATCAGGTGAAGAATTATTTACGAGCTGCGTTGAATGGCGCCTCAGCGACAGCCAATACACAGTTTCTCTGCATTACCCTAAATGTGATGTGTAGTCGGTTCTTCTCGAATGTCGTGGGAGATCAGGCTGAAAAGAGTGCTATGGCCGCGTCCACTCAAGCAACGAATAGTGGAAATGTTCTTTGGAGGAGCGTGGCTGATGGAATGCTGGCACAATGTTACGAAGTGCAAGGGAAGAAGGACATGGCCAAAGAGACTCTACAGCAAGCTCAGTATTTCGCTCGAAAAGCTGCGCTTGGCTCGGGTCCTTCTTGAGTCTGTGTATGAGTGGTAGGAGCTCGTGGTGGATACATGATCGCATATCGAGATGGGAGTTCGGGACAGGGGACAGGGGACAGGATCTTTGGCGCAACATATACCCATTTGCTTATAATTTCTGTCGCTTCGAGGTTGTATCGTGCATCATGAAGTGCTATCTATTTTGTACGGGTATCAAAATGGAGTGCTTCTAGCTAAATAGGACATAAGGAATAGAGTAAGGTTCGGTTGAACGAGACACGCCTGCATCTGCGTCAACAATTGGGAACTCTCTCTTGACCAGATCAAATGTATGAGCTTTGATCTGATCTCCTAGTGCAGTCAGCACCTATGCTCATGAACCCGAGGCTTGTCCAGGCAGATTAGAAAAGCAAGCTTTTATATTTTGGTCTCTGAAAGCAGAGTCTCAGAGTTTAAATCGTTCATGATCGATATCATGTACAATTTTTACGACTTTGAATCATATCCAGAGGATTCCAAAAACACTCCTTGAGTAAAGTGCTGTAATGTTTCCATGAAATTGAACCACCTCGATCCCTGTCTGATGGTCCCCGTGATTCCGCCCCTGCAGCTACTGTCCATGCGCGTCGTCCAAAATATTTTTCTGTAGAACGAACAGGTCAACAGGTCAACAGCCCATCAGCAATTGCCATCTCCGCGCAAACACTTTCTATGTTCTCGACAATATCCCGCGGAATTTCAAGGGTCAGAAAGGCATACACATGCTCATCATGTCGATGCAATATTCAAGCAAACGGCTATCCTCAGCAGGCCCCCCAGCAGCGACTTAATCGCGCGACAAGAGCTGCATTGAATGGTTTCTCGACCTCTTCGCAAATTTTTGAGGATGGCGATGTCAAAAATAATGACGAGGGCAATAAGAGCCTCAAAGGCAAAAAGGACGACCTCGAGCCAGCGACTGGAGACGATTTAACGCCAAAATTAAAGGATGAACCCAAAGGGCAGGAAAGAGGCAGAACGGGTGTGGATAAACTAACCCCGCTTTCGAGATCTATGACTACCCTTCGAGCCCTGAGAGATTCCTTACTTTCTGAGCCTATGTCGCGATGGAGTGAGAAAGCGCCAATTGATGCGTCCGCTGTGGCGGTGCGGCCCGGCCTTGCGACTCTGCGACGAAAACGCAAGAGAGACGCGGCCTCTTTACGGAATAGAGCAGAGGGCTCTAAATCTGCGGATATGGCAAAGGATACACAGAAAGTCGATGGCTCTGGGGGTCTGCCATCTGATCAGACACTTAAGGATAAATTGCCTCCGGGGAAGTCAAGAGGGCAAATTACGAGAAAGCAGAAAGCATCTCCCAAGGCAAAAGCCAGTAGTTCAAGCACTGTTTCGAAAAGTAGGGAGGATCGTTCTTTAAATCCGCCCGTTGTGGATGGGAAGGGTAGGAAATCTATCGCTCCCAAAGGACCACTTGACGATGTACAACAGTTCCTGAACGAAAATCCATCTCTTCGTAACAAGGTCAAAATCATGAATAAACAAGGACCTAAGTTGCCTATTCAACAACGGATTGAGAAATTATTAGAAGATGATAGCCTCTCAGAAGCTGAAAGATTACAAACCTTGCGCACAGTGGTCAATTTCCGGCAGACTGAGACCTGGCCAAGGCTGGTGTCAACTCGTTCAAAAGTTCCGAGATCCATTGCTAATGGGAAGGGTTTGGTCAGGAGGATCAATTCTACGGAGGACGAAGTCGCAGAGCGTCCTGGGGTATCCGTCAAAGCGCAACCTGGAACCACTGCTCACGAAATCAAAACTGTAGACGCAGACAGTCTCCAACTGGTTCCTCTTGATACTGGACCGCTCAAGGTGCCTCAATTGTCGTATGGGTTGGAAAGAGTTCTATTCAACCCGGGAGTTTATCAACTACAAGATCCTCGATCAAGGGTGTTCAACTTCGATCCATATTTGCAGACAATAATGCCAGTCAGCGAGTTTGATTTCAATGCACTGAAGCAGTATGTGACTTCTTCTCGGGACAAGGTCCTCATCTCAAAGGCCATTGAAGAGAAGAAGAAATACACTGGGTCGACATCTAGCACAACATCTGCCCTCGCCCACTTCCACTTCCTCCTCTCGCAATGGCGAGAGATCACTACCAGCAATCTGTCCAAAATGTTTCCTGTCGAATTCCGCACTTTCACGGCTATACAGCGTACCCCTACTTCCATTTTCTTACGCTGGAGGGATGGGGCATACGCCATCGACGCAGACAAGCAATACGACACGGCTAACATTCTTATGAGCCTTGGGAAGTCTATGGAGAAGCTTCTCACTCTCCCTACCGACGAGTTTGAGAGGTACCGGAAATCGAATCCAGAGGGGATCTCGGAGGAAGAGCGCAATGCAGCCGAAGAGTTTCACTACACTGGAATGGGCGATTTTCTACTGAGGTCACAGCTAGATGCTCATGATTCGCGTTTACCAGGGACTGGTATGTTTGATCTCAAGACCCGAGCCGTGGTTTCAGTTCGAATGGATGCCGACGATTACGTGGAAGGTCAAGGGTATGAAATCCGAGGCCGGCACGGTGAGTGGGAGTCATTCGAAAGAGAATATTATGATATGATTCGTTCTGCTTTCCTGAAGTATTCTTTGCAAGTAAGAATGGGTCGTATGGATGGTATCTTCGTTGCATTTCACAACACCGAGAGGATCTTCGGCTTCCAGTACATCAGTCTACCAGAAATGGACTTTGCGCTGCATGGAACGACCGATACGACGCTTGGAGACCAAGAGTTCAAACTGAGTTTAGATTTGCTCAACCGAGTCTTGGATCGTGCCACGGCAAAGTACCCAAAGCAATCAATTCGACTACTCATTGAAACTAGGCCTGCGCAAACTCCTTTCACTTACATATTCGCGGAACCTTTCACAGAGGCCGCCATTGAGAAGGTTCAAGAGACTAACAAGGCCAACATCGAGAAGTTTGAGAAGGCGGTCTTGGGCGTAGTCAACAGGGGTTACAGTGAAGAGGATCAACAGAAAGAGTGGGATAAGATCAGAGCCGCAGTTGACGAGAGCGTTGAACACGACGAAGCTGGCCGTGAGGCATCAGGAGGGGATCTTGATACGTCTGACCTCGACTCTGACCTGGATAACGGAGAAGATAATGAGGATCTTGCAGAGAACGAGGATGACTCGGAAGAGGATGATTTGTTGGAAGAGGACGAGCTGGCCGATGCTGTCTCGACGGGTGAGAGTCAGGAATTCGCAGACGGAGATGAGGTCGTTGATGAGGATGCTGAGGGAGATGACCAGGAGACTGACCTGCAGGAGTCAGAGGCTGAAGAGCAGGAAATCGAAGATTTGGAAACTGCACAGGGCGAAGGAGCGGAGATGACTGATATTGTTCAGCCCGAGGATGTGCAGGACTTAGCTGATCTAGACGACAGCGTCGAAGTCGATCAAGAGAACGAGGATAAAGAAGTGGAAGCCCAGGAGCCCTTTGAGACAGCCAAACAAGAAGCCGATTCGTCCGAAGAGAAGGATGTGTCAAACTTGCGAATGAACACCGGACCTGCGATCACTGAAGACGAGTCAATCGACATGAATCGCAAACCTGGAAACATGATGGCCATGACCCTTACCATCAAGAACAAAGTGAACGGCCGATACGTTGAGCGTCCGAAAAATCTTACCAGCGATGACAAATGGAGTGTTGAATACGCGCTTTCCGAGATTAAAAATCAGGAAAGTGTTGCTAGATTGTACGAGATGGCAAAGAAACGCCGTGAGGCGGCGAATGTCAAGACGATTGATATGAGCAAGGACTCGTTCAATAATGAGTTTTTACAGAGGATTAAGGCTATGAACGAGAAGGGAAGGGAGTGGAGGAAGAAGCAGAGTGAGATTGATCAACAGACGCCGACTAAGACATTGAATGTCAAGGATGGCGAGAAGGTGACTTCGAAGGATCATGGTTTATGGACTGAGGATGGAAATGACGGAGGTGAAGACAAGGCTTAGGGAATCGCGGGAGCTGTATACTATGCAGCTGAAAAGGCTATATCATTGTCAACTTGTAGATCAGAAGGGAGTGTTAAATAGGATAGAAAAATTCTGTAAAATGTATAATAAAACGTCTCTCTAGCGATGTTCTGACAGCTGCACGTGTCTGCCACTTATGGTCTTCGAAGCTTTTCTCACGAACTCACCCAACCTTCCTCGAATATAGCTTTATTAACATTTGAAATTAGCAGTACGATTATTATCATTCTTGCTACCGCTCTTATCGCAAACACTTGGATCCTTTTAACTTGTATTCTATACGCTATTCACTGAATTTTGGATATTACTTGCTCAGCCAGCTCGGTTCGTCTATTTCGCTTAACATAGGAGGACCACGAGCAAAACATCTGTTCCTGCACACTCTAATCTAGATAAGGCTAAATGCTCTAATCTCTTACGCAATGATATTTAGGTGAGTAAATTGCCCATGGTAGGTAGGGGGATGGCCAAAAAAAAGAACCTCTTTTACTGCCCTCTCGGTGTGGACAAAAGTATGTTATACAAAAAGACAATATCGACTATTGTTGCACACTCCGGGAATCGAACCCGGGGCCAGCGCATGCATGCCTGTAAGTGAGCCATGGGAAGCGCTGATTTTACCACTAAACCAAGCGTGCTAGATGTGTTTGAGAATCGTTGCCAAGCGGCGCGTTATATGCGTTATTGATGGTTTGAATTTTATCACCATTAGGTTCTGGAATAGAGCTGAAAGTAAGATTCGAGCTCGAAGGTCAAGAATAAGACCAAGAGAGAACTTATAGCGATAATTGGAGATTAGCAAACGAGAAAGATGTAAGACATTACATATAAACCATTAACCCTATCCCAATGAATATTTTCTTTGTTCGTGATGTCCTGGTCTGGTTCTCATTGGTATTGGCATACCCATGCAGGTTATTAGAAGTTGCGCTGCAGCCTCGTCAAAACCTGGCGGGGGAAGCACCGTGAAGCGCTGATTTCAACCGCAAACCTGCCTCCCACCAAGTCATCAACATATTTGAACGCACCCCCACGACTTCACAAGCGGAAAGCTCAAAATGAGCTCCAAAATCGAGAAGATCATCGTGCGTCTGCAGGGAAAGCAAGTCTCTCCTTTTCTCCCCTCCCCAGCCAAATCTAACCATCCTGCAGAATCACAGAAGGAGCATACTATGAAGCGCAGCAGCAGACCCGAGTCGTGGCAGCACGATACGTCAAGTCCGCAAGCTGGGACGCGGCAATCGATATCCTTTTCAACGTCTCGCAATCTTTACTGAAAGCAGGACAAGGAGGCAGCGGTGGAGATCTGGGCTTGTTCTTGGTCGATGTGTATAAGCAGGCGGAGCTGAAGCCGGATTCGACGAGTAAGGGGAAGTTGTTGACACTGTTGAGGGCGTTTGATAGTGAGGAGCCTACGAGGAAGAAGTTTATCGGGGAGATGATTGGGTATTTTTCTATTCCTTTCTATTGTAGAGCTTGTGGAACACAGGAGCTGATTACAGCAAACAGATGGTCAGCAAAATGCGGCGAATACCCAGCCGGCGAGCCAGAACTTCACCATGTAGCAGGCTCCCTATACGCCGAGGAACACGAAGCCTACGAAGCTGAACGACATCTCACCCTAGGCACGAAGGATTCCCCAGAAGTGTTTGTGAAGATGGAGTATGAATGGTACACGCAGGACGATTCGCACACAGCAGCTCTTTACGCAGCGCGTGTCGTATTCCCATATCTCCTTGTTGGCAATGTGCGCGATGCTACGAGATCCCTACGACTATTCACGAGCAGATTGACCGAGGCGAACAAGGGACTCTCAGTGCAGGATGTCAGTAGCAATTCGTTAGACATGCGGATCTATCCCAGCTTGCCGCTGCTGAATTTCCTGGGCTTGTTATTATTGGCTGTGCAGAAAGGAAGTGCGGGTTTGTTCACGCAGCTGAGGTCGAAGTACGCGGCGCATATCCAGGAAGTGGGCATTTGGGATGAGGCGTTGACTACGGTGGCGGAGATGTACTTTGGTATCTCGAGACCGAGACAGGGGAATCCGCTGTTTGATATGATGGGCAGTATGTTTGGGGGAGGAGGCGGTGCTGCTGCGAATGTGAAGCCCCAGCCAAAGCGTGTTGGAGGAACTTCTGCACCTGCTGCTGAAGGTCTGGATTGATCAATGACAAATTCAAATTCAAACGCAAACTTGTATAGAAACGCCGGCTCGAAGCAAATATCCAGTAAAAGCAACGCTTGGGTATCTAACACCTCGCTATGTCTGCCAAACCACAAAAGACCGTAGAATATCACCGGAGAGCAGCTTCATCTTCGGCTTCGTACATCCAGTTATCTTCTGCTAAAGCATTGACTTTAGCTCGGAGACTGGCCCGTACGGCTTCGAGGAGTTCTAGTATTGTCAGAATAGCTCCGTCCAGATCCTAGGAACTGTAGGTAATTACCAGCAGGTTCACTAGGAGCACGATTTCTATCTCTCTGGTGGTGCTTCACTGCGTCTGCTAGTCTCTGACGTTCCTCTAAACCATAATATCAGCACGATTCTTCCCTCCCCCCACACATAGAAACAAATTAAACGTAGGAAACTCCTCACTCTCATCCTCCTTCTCCTCCCCATGAGCCCCCTCATCCTGCTCGTCGAACGGCTGTACAGGCAAATCCTCAATCTCAAACTCGCCATTCTTATCCCTGATAACTATATCTGAGGAATCAGACTCAGGATCGACATCGAGACGGAGGGTTTCTGCGGATGTGGAGGTCGAGCTTGTGGTTGGACGCCGAGTGAGATGTTGTTGGAAGAGATTGCGCCGGACGTTGGTGCTGCGGTGGGTGGAGCTACTGGATGTTCCTTGTCTGCGTTCCGGCATTTTGTATATATATGTTTGTTATAAGAATGGTGGGTTGAGGAATGCTTGAGGGGCGCGAGAAAAGGGAGGTTGTTGTCTCTTGTGTTTTGTTTTGACGAGGCTCGGGGCGAGGCTCTGTATTGATGGGGGTTTTCGGTAGCCACGAGTATTGGAAGTAAATATAACTTTATTGAGATCCTAAACTTTTATGGGGAGAAGCCAAATTTTGATTTTGGTACTTCAAAAACAGACCTTGATAAAATCTCCATTGGCTCCGTTATTTTTGCTATTCTGGACGCGTATCATTTCGTTTCAGCACTGGAAATAGTTGCTGTTTCCTCGCTTGTCAGGGGATTGTGGGGTGCATGAGCGCTGGAGCAAACGGCCCTTTGGCTCAGGATTCCTTCAATCGTCTCATACATCCATCCTCAAAAGAGCCGCAATATTAACTTGCTCATAATGGTCTAACAAGAAAACGTTGATTATGAGTAGCACATTTGAAATCCAGCCTATTGGTCGTTTTGTGGGCCAGAGTGCTGCTATTAAACGTCCGAAGGTATGCTTACTTCCGTCTTGTGCATGCTTTCGCCTTTTTTATTGTATTTAAAGTGCTATGCTGACTTAATGAAAGGAGATCGCTTGTTTCTCATACGATGATAAGCATCAATTCCGTCTAGATGACTCTTCTATCAGATACTACTATCCTCCAGCTATTGGAGCAGATCTGTCAAGAGGCTTCGACACTTTTGAGAAACTCGATGATGAAGCGGACGATCACTTGGATAGCCTCCTGAAAGCTATCATGGCCTTGGAGCAAGAGACGGGGAAGCGTGTTGAGACCGATCTCATTACGTGGAGAGGCATGATGACCAAGGTAAGTCTATCGGTAACTGCAAAAGACCTCTGAAATTGATGTTTATAGATCATGGGAGCTATATTTAGCGACAGAGATGGGTAATTCGCTTTTCCAGGCCATTACAGTACTCAAGCTGACTTTTGGAGCTTCGAGATGAACGCCACGCTCTATCAAGTGGGCACTCCTTGCCAAGAGATATAACTTTAGCTAACGAGTACCTGTGAAGGGCACAATGTATGGTTCTGTGCTCATGCTCATGAGTCTTCACTAAATTGTATAGCTTTCTCGAAGAGAATCACGAATACAAACGCCAATCGCAAGCGAGACAGTCACGGCAGGTTTCACAGCCAGGAAGGCCGTCTCAGGATATGATGAGCTTTTGGGGTAAGTAGGCAAGCGAGGTTCTGCTTTCGAGATGCTGATGGACGAAGGATATAAATTTGAGACGTTGTGCTTGCTACCAAAGACATGGGACGAGACACCAAGAGATTACATCGAAAACAGGGAGAACGAGATTGTGAACAACCATGCACAATACTGCTCTGTGGTAAAGACTGGGATCGGTCGCACAACCATGGTTCTCGGGGGCGAAGTAGATGCATGTATGTAACGCTCACTCTGACACACCTTCAGCACGTACTGACCAATTTTAGTGTGGGATTCCAAGCCTAAGGACGGTGGTCCCATCAACTGGGTGGAACTCAAAACCTCTGCCGAAATACGGCACGATGGCGATCTCATGAACCTAGAACGCAAACTCATGAAATTCTGGATTCAATCCTTCCTCCTCGGCGTTCCTAAGATCATCGTCGGGTTCCGGACACAAGATGGCTTTCTGAAAAGGGTTGAGGAGATGGACACGGCATCAATCCCTAGCACGGTGAAAAGGCGAGGGAAGGGAACTTGGGATGGGAATATGTGTATCAACTTTGCATCGGGGTTGCTTGATTGTAAGTCTGATTGTGCGTCAAAACCAATGATCCCATGTTAATTAGTGATAGTCCTCAAAGCGACGATTCAAGGCGATGGCGTTTGGCGCATCCGGAGAAAGGAGAGATCGCCTACCATTGAGGTGTTTAGGATTGAAGAAGCTGGACATGGTGATATTATCTCGGATGAGTTCATCAACTGGAGGATAAAACTGGCTTTGAGCGATCCATTGCCTGCGGTTCCTGATCCTAATCTTGCTCCTGCTCCTGCTCCTGCTTCTGAGCGAGTGTCGTCGCCAGTCTTTATTCCAGCAACACCGGTAGCACCAGCAGCAGCTCCTGGCGGATATGTTCTTGGGTTATAGACTGGAAGCATTGAACGCCACTGACAGCTTCTGTACGATAAATGGGGACAGGGTTTGTGTAATGAAAGACAAACGGATTGTCAGACTTGCTGTCATCAACTTGTGGGCAGTACCCACGTAGATGAACTTCATGTTGGAGACTCGTTGTCCATGCTAAGTCGACTCTAGTGAAGCAAGAGTTGATCTCTTGCGATCGACAACAAAGCATATTTTATGAAGTCATGAAAATGTGATATGAGTTTACTTGATATATCACGGAAGTGCTTTGTGACTTTTGAATAAAGTACAATTCTAACACACAAAAGTGCGTTGGGCTTTGGTAAGAAGAGCATTTCAACCTGAAGTCGGTCGACATGCATCTTGTAATCATTCTTGAGACTGGAAAAGACATAGAAGTGACAAAGTCGTACCTCACCTAGGATACATCCTCACCCGATATCTGCCACGCTGCATAATAATAATTTTAGGTGCTTATTCACTTTGGTCCCTCCGGACTCGCTGACTTTGAGGGTAAATACACGTACCATCATCCATGGCTTCATACAGGGAGGGGTCCTATAGACCAATTAATCTCTCGGATGGCTTGTACAATTAGGGGAAATCCGAAGTGCGTACAAGGAAGAGGCTGGCCGCTTGCCA